GGGTGAGGGAAGACGGGAGGAGAGACCACAATTCCGGACCGGACGGGACGCGACGGTTTGGGGGTCACGGAGGGCAATGCGACGGCCCAGCCGCAACCCCGCCCCGCTACGCCCCGCCCGGCGACGCGATGGAACGCCGACGTGCCCTGCGCCCGCCTGCGCCTCCCTCTCCCCAGCCGCCCCCGCTGAGGCCCCCTGCGACGTCGGCGTCGGCGCCGCCGGCGTTGGTCCAGGGTGACGTCACAAAGGTGATCGTCATATCTCATGACGTGGATGGGAGACCGATGAGTTTTTGGTCAATGGTCTGCCCATGTTTAGATAATGTATTGGGAGGTAGAGGTAATGAAGAAATGTAAATGCAGTACACAAGTTAAGGTTTCACAGACAATGGTTTTTATTTTATTGAAAGAAAAGAACAATTCATAATACTATTCACAATATTTTCATAATTTATATACATCATCACTTTATAAATACAAATATCTTACAAAAAAGATCAGGGGGAGAGGGGCACAATTTCTAATATATTAACCATTTACATATGTTTGGAAGCATAAATCTATCTATATATGTGTACATATAAGAAAATATATATGCACATATATATATATTTATATATACATATACATGGATGCTACCTTTAGTACATTTTGCAATTGTGGCATTAAGTACAAGGGCACAATTTTACAGTGATGTGGGTGGAGCTAGTTAATTATACCTCTCTCATTTCATCTATCACCAGCCTTAATACTAATACATTAGCAGTCAACAAATGGCAGTCAATCTAAGGAATGAGGTTTCTCAAAATATGAAAAATTAAAATTAACAGTGTCAATTATAAGAACACCACCCTATCACAATGGAGCCAGCCATAACTATTCCAGTGAAGAATATGTCCACTGCAACAGCCATGGGGGCCACAAAAATACAATAACAAGAGATCACAGTTGACTGTCAGAATGTCAAAATTAAAATTTAACAAATTGAGCGTCAAGGATCTTATGCAACCAAACATTGCAAAGAGGGTTTACTGCCATGCAGAATATAGTAAATGGAAAACAACAGCGGCAGACACTTCAAAATAAGTTGAAATGTCTCCTGCCATGGTTAGATAGGTTTAGTTGTAATTGACACACTGAAGTACAAACTTCAGCATGTCTAGAGCAACTAATACCATGTCAAAAACAAATTGTAAGCAACAGGTGGAACTGGTAAAAGATGCATTGAGATAGAGCTAACAAAGATTATGGCAACATTAAGTTGCCACCTACGCCCCCTCTCCCCTGCCATATCACAACGCTACAGTGTTCGCAACCACCCACAAAAATGACTTAGCTTCAATAAATAACAGGAACATGATATTTTTGTTCATTCCAACATAATTTCTATTTCACATTGGTAAGAAATTAAGATAAATCTTAACATGTTTGTGTCTAAAATTCCCAAATTTTACCCATCATTGTTTAACAAAGTTACAAGTTAACAGTTGATTTCAAGAGATTGTCACCAAAAAATACATGATCAAAATGGCCAATTGTCAAACATTTATCGTCAGTCATCAATGATTGAAAACGGAGACATTAATGTCAAAAAGAAAAAACAAAGAAAATGAAAACAAAAAAAATCTTAACAAA